CTTCTTGAATTCTCTATCTGGCTGAATCCAATCTGAAAGCAACATATTATATATACCTATATCCTGATGTTTACAACTATACAATCACATTCAGCGAAAACATTTACCATGGCGACAAATAATACCATGACAATAAAAATTTTGGTCATAGTTGAAACTTGAAATAATACAATAATAATAAGTCTTCTCACATTATCATCAAACTAGATATTAAATGCTATATGAATCCACTATCATAAACAATATACAAACTTTTTCCATGATGCTAGAAGCAGAAGCTGATCTTCTGTCATAGCCCACCAGCAGTCAGTTCCATGCTGTCTAATCAGATTCTCTATGTGCTCCACTGTATGTCTGTGCATGAAAGAAAATTTCCAAACGTGTGAAAATATTGAAAATCATACGTCCACCCAAGAATTTAGGCCTGAAGGAACAATAATAAAATCCTGCATAAATTACTTTACTTTATGTCATTACTTCACCGAGAATATGATGATACATACACTACAATGCCAAAATATTCTTGAGTTTTCAACTTCCCATTACATTACTGTGCTCCTCTGTAATAAATCATATTTATATATTTAAAATATCCTATTTATATCTATACACAGTAAAAGATAAAGATAAAGAAAGTCAACATGCTGTTTATAAGGGGTTCGCCAGTGTCAACACAGTAGAAACACGGCCAGTGCACACCAAACTCTTGCTTGATATACACCAAGATGGCCGAGTCATCAACAATGATTCATCTGCCTGCCTGTATTGTTCTGATGGATGTTTACTGAATTTAGACAATCCTGCATTGAATTAAAAAAACAAAAAATCGTAAACATAAACTTGGAAACTAGCAACTGGAATGTCATGAATTATAGAAAAATCATAAAATTGATGGTTTGAACACCAAGATATTTCAATAAAAATTACTAAAATGTGCAAGGTAAGAGAGCTGAAGTAGTCTTAACAGATAAATTGTTGATACCAAAATCTGTAACATAATATACCTGAAGAACGTTTGGGCTTTATTGCAACACACGCTATACATATACAGTAAAAACTCGATCAAATATGTGACCCTCCAGCATAATACGGACTAAGGCCAATAAGTCATTGTTTTGAGTAATTAGACGCACACATTTCAATGCTGAAAATGGCCTACCTGGACAAAAATGATGATTTTACAAAATGAGTTCCTAAGTGCATATTTAATCTGGATATATAGGTTCAGATATCCTATATTATGATGGTCATTTTTAATTTAAAAAATGAAAATAAATTTTTTTTTGAAGCCCTGACCGCTCACCCCGACTGGGCCCCTTACTAGACGCTTTATCTTAAAAGCTGCATATTCGCGGAATAAGTCGGTTTCCGATCTTCAAATTCTGTAGATCGGTTAATTCTTTAGATATAGCCAAATATTATATATCTTTTAAAGGTAATTAAATAATCTATTCAGATATGCACATACTCAATTTGTAGAATTCTACTTAATCCTGGTTTTGCTGGAGCGGGTCACATATAATCGCACTTTTGGACTAGCATAATTTGTGTCGACTTACGCATCATTTTGTCGACTTATACAATTTATGCGCGCGTTGACTGTGCATGTGTGCGTATGCAGGCACGTGTGCACAAAGAGTGCGCATGTAGAGTGTGGTTCGGTGTGTGTGTGTGTGTGTGCGCGCGCGTGCGTGTGTGTATATGATCTCTCGGTTGCGTCTCTGCTTTCTATGATACCGTATACGTATAGTATATAGGTATAGTTAGTACTGTATAGCAGAATTAATTTTCAGGGAGTCACATGACTCCTGCATAGTCAAATCAGGGAGTCCGACAGTAAATCAGGGAGTATATATTGACTCGATCCCGTCGCCTTAATTTGCACACTGCATTGGGCTGCATACACTATATATACTATACCTTATACATATATAATACACTGTATACAGTGGGTAATCTGGGGTGTGCGAGCTGCGAGATGGGAAAAAAACACAATGCGTCCAAGCGACAATCGATTCAAACAATCCGTCTGCGACAGCCAGCTCGCGCACTCCCTAGACCCGTACCAGAGCATATAAACAGTTGATTATGAAGTTTACTGTATTATAATTTTACTATAAATGTATATATGCCACATGAGTAGTATATATAAGAGAAGCTGATAACAACATACCAGTGCTAGAGACTTGAGCCTGTCAGTGTTAATGAACCACTGCTTGCTGGCTCTGAAGATGACCGGCTGTTAGTTCTCCAGTCATATGGATAACTATGAACATTGTCCTCGGAATGGGCTAACAATCCTGCCCTTCAGTTGATCATGACTAAAGAAAATAATATTAAAAAGTAGCTAACAAATCACCTGATGATTTTATCATAAACTTTGTTATATCCTAGAATGAACTATCAATGACAATTTCATTGTTTGACTTTGAAATGCAATTATTAAGAGTAGGTAGTATTTTCATTATAGAATTATTTTACAAAATGTTAATTATGAAAGCAGAAAGAACATTAGTCTAAATGTTTTTTTCAAAATCGGTGAGCTTACAGTATGTAAAATTTTCATACAATGTGCAAGTTGAATAGCTCTAATTATCTGACTCACAGGCCGATTCATAAGCGCACCAGTGAGTTTCCTTGCTTGATAACATGTTGGCCAACGAGACTCTTCCTGCTCTAGTGTAGCATCCATCTTCATTCACAAGGCCTAACCTGAAAATTTACTCATTACCTATAGATATGTCAATGAAAGCAACAACAGCAAACACATCTCTCATCTATTTAATGTCTATCTATCCTAAAGCAACATAACTTGATTTCCTATTTCTTTTCCATAAACCTATTTAACATTTCACGTAATTAGCGTGTATTTATAAGGTATGTATTCACAACACATAAACCAATACAACCAGTTTCAGTCATGTTCTTTGGCAATTAAAAAATCTTCTGGACCATGACTGGGCTGTGTGAACTAAACCACTGCCTTCTCCATGGACAGTGTACTCCAGACAAGAACGGTAGCTCACTATCCGGACACAGCGGATGTCTGTAGCGGCAGCCAGCAAGATCTGCTCCTAAACATATACAGAGCAAACTCAGCAGCAAGTTTAAAGACAAGATTAACCGAAGCTTTCACCACTGCAAAATGTCAACTGAAAATTACAATCAATAATAGGAAGCAATTGCTTTACTAACATGATACATTTCCCCCCATCTAGTAAAGGAATGAAGCATACCTTCCAACTTAACTAGGTGAACTAGCTTGAGTTCAGAGAGTGCTCCATATCAGCTACCTTTCTGTAGCAATGAGGAAGTGATCTCCCATGAGGAACTCTTTGTCACTACTACTGCATCGAACTATTGAATAGCAAAACAATAACAATGCATTAGATCATTTATACACTGAAACATTTCGCAATTTTTTTATCATTTATATAGTGCATGTACTCAATTTCCAGTTCTCAGGTTATATGGATAAAAAAACATACTGCTCCACTGCCTGTTAGATAGAACCTGACGTGTTGTGGCATGGCTATTACAATGTAATCTCTATATTCACAATGAGCAGCAATTTATGGATGCCAAACATTACCTTCTATCTTTGCAAAACAAAGAGCTTGGTTAGCTGGTATTGTCCATGGTTGTTCGTCCACACCAGTGCATATACTGGAATATGACTAGAAAAAACAACCAATATATTCCAATAGTATATAAACATAACTTTTACCACTTGTGAATTTATAACCTACTTATAGTCAGTGTAATGGGGGGTTCGTAAATAATTTGGATATGTCTTGATACATACTAATTTATAAGCAATTTGCAAAGAATGTTCGATTCCAGATACCTATTTATACATACTACATCCTTACAGTAAAGTTAGCTATCATGTTTGATTGTACATATCTATGCAACCATTTCAGTTTTTGTATACTTACAAACTTTTTGAAGCGAACCAGTAGGCAGAGTCTCTGATACCATTGGGAAACTTAACAATACAGAAGAAACTGAAAGAAAAGGAAGACACATAGCTTAGTTAAAGATGCTTTCCCATGCACATTTTTGTGACAAACCACTGTAAAAACGTAAGTAAATAACTCACTACACTTTAACTGAATGTCAGCTTTGAAAATAAAACTGTAAAACTATGTAGATATCAAGCCTATATATGGCCTCAAAGAAAAAACAACTCGAAAATGCGTTTCTCCACGTTCGTATCACTGCGGCTAGAGTTGGACGCAGGTCACGAAACCAGCACAGCCATAATATCATATAACACACGTGTTATATGATATCTATGAGCACATGCAGCCTTCATGATCACACCTTCAGCTTGCGACACCGCATGCAACAAGAGACGCGTCACAACATCACCGCAGAGTGCAAAAGTAAATGCCATTTGAAATTTCGACCCAACACTTCTCACTTGTAGTCTAAAAGCTTTGAATGAAACAAATTCTTGAGAATTTTTTTTTACCTATCACACATTATATAGGAATACAAACGCTGCACTGTTAAAATAATTCATTTTGCCTGATTTTATGTTAGCCGCTTGAAATTTCGTGGAAAGCACCTTTAAGTGACGCAATCGCCTATTCCACCATACCAGATCTAGAAAAAAATGTCAATTCAAGAATCACGCTGTTCTGTCCAGCGACTGTTTTGCGTCATTTTAATAATAGTTACCTTAATACCTTGTAGATCATGGAATCTACCATCCCTCCCACTTACCTGACATGACTGTCATTATATTCCAGCTCAGCTCTGTAATGCTGTCCTAATAAGATGTAAAATTGATACACAGGTGTGTCAACAGTCTTATTTCATATCGAACAGATATTGACACAGTCTATCTAAGTGTGGCAATTCATGAACGTGTCTACCCACAAAATCCCTGTTTATCTTAACCGCTTTATCGAAAAAAAAATTTTATAAACAAAAAAAACTATAAAAACAAATCACAGATATAAATATCACCTCATTACACATATATTTTACTTACCTAGATGAAGGGAACAATACACTGGCTTCAGGTCTTGATAGACATAACCCTGTAAAATGAAGCTATGCATGTAATTCAAAACAGGAATTCCCAAAATGTTTTCAAGATAGATTAAATTTAATTTGTTGCTCTTGACACAATCATGACAGTGAACAAATCACATCTAACAGTTATATATCAGTCCTACATAAGGGTTTCCTGCCTCATAGCCTTTTTGAGAAAACACTATGTCTTAAAAGCAGGATATTTATGTACTTAAAATACCTTTTCATACAATTTGTAAAAAATCATCCATCTGCGTTGCTTCATAGTTTTTATCCAAAGTATAATAGCAGTGTTCCAGTCAGCATCATCCCCATCGCTGAAACGACGACTTCTGATTCTGTATGGCTTCCCATGCAAAGCTTCTTGCTGTAAGTTAAGAATGACATTATTTCATTCTGCATAAAATCCATAACAGCTACATAGTAATTACTGTTCACTATGCCTAAGAACAGATTCAACTACCTTGATCCCTTATTAAAGGCGACAACTTTCTGAAGTCCTGTGCTTGATGCCTGTAAGGCTTCACTTCTATGGGTAACCGTTGCAATCCCCAACTGCACGAAGTCAATACGGTGACCGGATTGCAGTTTGTAACGATTTTATATCCTTTAAAATCTTAAATGAAACAAGGCATAGACATAAATAATAAATATATTATATATATATATATATATATATATCAACAATGCATATAATCAACACGAGACACAAAAGTACATTTATGAACAACCTGTAAGCATACAACATATATACCATCGGATTCTTTCACAGATCGATCACTATAATAACTACGTGAATAATATTATTCTTTTCAGTGATACCACATAGTGCAAGCACAGACTCCATACCAACCTTGTTTACAGAATGACCAACATGGGCATTTCCATTTGCATATGGTGGACCATCATGTAGAACAAAGGAGCATTCTGCCTTTTGCTTAGACTGCCATACATACAGCTCAGATGTACTACTTTCCTGTAAAGATGCAATCATTTGGCAATTTAATGTTAGGATCTTGCACAATGATTGACTATAACTAATTTATGATATGGAAATTTTCCTTCTGGCTCCTATCAGACCACATATATAACAATATTAAGAATGTGGAGAAGGAAGCAGCACTCATAAAAAGGTAAAAACAGTGGGATCTTTCTTGCAGTTGTTGAATATATGAGTCTGAACTATCAGTCAAAAACAAGCTTTTGATTGACCACCCTAATAGACTACAGCACGTGTACAAATACATATGCCTGGCAGACAAAGGTGTAGGCCTAAAAATAAAAATACTACACGATGTGGACGTCTATTCACAATGCTTAACAATAGTGACACTTTGTTATGCGACAAGTGCTGTTCTGAGGAAATCGTCGTTGTACATTCTCGCTGCATGGAGTTGTGGAGTTCTCTGTTTGTTGAAGCACGAGGCTCAAAAACTTTCGATAATTCCTTTCATTTGCACCAGACACCTATTTTACATCCGCAATTAATTATATCAGGAGTTAATAAAGACAAAGGAGTTTGACACGTATTTGGTACTGATTTCACTACATTTTGTCGTATGAGTTCGATGTGAATAAAAATACAAATGTATACAAACATGAACTTCTTTTGTTCACTGGTCCTTATTCTATCTACCGGTAGTATTACAAACCGCGTAGCTTCCTTCGCTTTGACATAAATCGTACTTTTGCACGCCATGGTTTTCACGTTATTTACCGTCGTGTGGCGAGGCCAAGCAATAAATTCGCATACACAGCAACTGGAAGGAGCCGCGACAGGGATCGCGTCTCCCGTACGTTATCTCCCGAAGAAGTTTTTGTTCGGCTAACAAAGCCGAGTGATGACGACGTTAACTCTCGCCTTTATCACATACAGATGGTCATGATAAGTAAGGTAGGTGTAAACACATGCGTTTGCCTGCAATTGCATATAGTAACGGTTGCTATGCAAAACACGTGCGAAAAGCTACAATCAGCTGAAGCGTCAATTTACTCGCTAAGATCGATTCATACACATCATTCCTCCGCGGGTGAAGTAGTTCAGATATTTTACCAGCGCAGCGTTTATTTAAAAAAACTGTGAGATTCAACCATAAAAACAAGGCATTCTAACTATAGTTTCAATGTAAAATAGTTTTAATTTTTAAACCCAGCATGAGTGCAACGTAACTTAATTTCTAAGCACATTTTCTGCACTCGGCTAGACTACGGCCTAAAAGCCCTGCCGCGCCTCCTTCCAGTTGCTGTGTATGCAAATTTACCGCTTGGCCTCGCCACACGGCGGTAAATAATGTGGAAACCATGTCGTGCAAAAGTACGATTTATGTCAAAACGAAGGAAGCTACGCGGTTTGTAATACTACCGGAAGATAGAATAAGGACCAGTGAACAAAAAAAGCTCATGTTTGTATACATTTGTATTTTTATTCACATCGAACTCGTTACGACAAAATGTAGTGAAATCAGTACTAAATACGCGTCAAACTCCTGTCTTTATTAACTCCTGATTATATATATATATATATATACAGGGGTAGAAATTAACTTTTGAACAAGGGAAGTCCGATGGACTCCCTGCCCTCAAAAAGAGATAGTCCGCAGCAAAATGAGGGAGTCCGCAGTCTGAGGTTCAAAATTAAAGATATTAACAATAACGCATGTGCTTATTTTTAGGATTCATGCAGTTGCACGTCTGCCAAATTTTCTTGGGACATTAGCTGAAAAAATACAGTAATTCCACGAGGCCGTGCTCCGAACAAACTATAGTCAGTATTGCAGAATTTTCAGGGAGTCACACACAGTCTAGAGAGTCTAGACCAATAAATTGTGCCCTAATAATTTATATGCAATTGTACATGTTGATTGTTGTATGTAATTAATAATCAAATAATTATGTACCTGCTTTGGCAACAAGAATGGTGATGCACAGCCACAAGTAGCCACAAGTTCCCATCTCGCTTAACACTACGTGGCGAGAGGGCTAGTTCCTCCGCCGAGGGTTAGTTCCTCCGCCGTGTAACTAGTCGGAGAGCCTGGTCGGTTTAAGCCACAAGGTAACCTACTACCTAGGCTATAGTAAAACCTAGGATAAAGCAACTATTTGGTAATAAATTGCCGGGATGCTACTATTTATTTAGTTTATAGTTATAGTAAATAGTTATTTATTTTTAAATTACCTCATGTTCGACATCAATATCGGATTTGCTACGGCGGCGTACAGGGAAAGATGTTTTTGGCAGAAGCACGGTATGAGAATACGTGTGATTCGAGAGTTGTCTCAGCAATTTCATTGTGCATTTCTCAATTATTGAATATTTCCAATGCGGTAACATTATTACTATAAAAACGGGAAAATTTATAATAGGCAATTCTCCGACACAGCACGTTAATGTAGAGCTTCTTTCCGTCGTAAACACATCACTCGTGGTGTCTTTCCTAGCGTGTAAGCTGGCGTCGGCGTGGTGTACAATGACGGTCTAGGCGTCTACTCACTGAACCGAATCTATTTTGCACGTGCCAGAGCATAAATATAAATCAACAATTACAGTGACGGTGGCGCTACCTATCGACTATCTACCAACCCCAAAAATGGTTCTACGTAAAAGTCCTATTTGTGGTTTCGTATTCGTGTTATTACTTTTTCTAAGTAGTTTCTTGGGAACACTATTCATTATTTCACCGTTATTGCCTTTGATGATCTTTAAGCCGAAATGGTGGCGATTTGTGATAGACGAAGTAATGGGCAGCTGGATCACCTATGCAGTGGTATGATTTGATAATGATTTGATTTGATTTGATTTGATGTAGTATGATTTGATTTGATTTGATATGATTTGATAACCGGTAGACTATTACTATTAGTATTAGTATTAGTACTATTACCAAGAGCTAATAAATACCTAGAGTGTACAACGTAAAAACGGGAAAATAGTGCTATTTCACGACAACATTATTCTACTTTGCCTGGAAGTCTATAATAATTTCATGGTATTGCATTAAGCAGAATTCTTTGCTCTCTAAAACAAGACCAACCGCTTGTCAATACGATACTTCTAGGCGGAGATATCGGCTCCTAAACCTCCCCTCCCACATGCCAAACGCCGCCTCGAATGCACTTCTGTCCGCATCCTTCACGCGGCTAAGCGTTGCTTCGTGATAGTTCGGTTTTTCCTCCATAATTTTATGAATGATTTTC